GGGAGGGCTACCTCTGGGTGTGAAAGACTTGCACGAGGGTTGCCAGCTCCAGGTTGGGAAATACCTGGAGATTTGGGGGGTGGGGTTGGGGGAGGGGAGAGACTTCAGTGGGGTAGAATGCCATGGGGTTCACCTTCCAAAGCAGACGTTTTCTCCTGGTGAACTGATCTCTGCCGCCTGGAGATCAGTTGTAATAGTGGGAGGTCTCCAGCCACTACCTGGAGGTTGGCAACCCTGGCTCGTAGTGGCGTGCCGTCCTCTTTTTTACGGTGTGTTTCCTCTGTCCTGCAGTGACGTCTTCATGCTCTCCCGGCAACTCCAGCCGGCCTTCCTCTCCTGGCACGGGACTGCACGCCAGCAGCCCCGGCATGTCCCAGAGCAACTCCAAAGCTGCGATCAACTCGACCAGTTTCAACTCTTCTGGGTAAGACTGCGCAGGGGGAGGGCCAGGGAAGGCGGGGGGATTGTTCTCAGCTCTCCAAAAAAGAACAGCAGCACACCCACCAAAGATAATGGGCATTTGTGCAACAAATTTCGCATATGTCTCCTTGTCATCCTTACAACGAGCTTGTAAGGTGGGACATTATTCTTCTGATATTGCTGATGGGGGGACCGGCTTGCCCTTGGCTGCCTTATAAGTTGCTGGCAGGGGCAAGATCCAAATGAGAAAACTCCGTCTCTTGCCCCCTGTGCTTCTTGGGTGTAATGAACACAAAACAGCTCAAAACAAGGTGTCTAAGCACACTGATTCTTATGGGTTTATGTGCACATTGATTCCTATGGGTTTACGTGGATCTGACTTTCTGAAATCCAAAAAACAAACACGGCAGTAATTGTGCATGTTGGATCGTGTTAGGGGTCTTCAACCTTTTTTAAAAAAATAAAACTTTATTGTCAATAAACAGATACAATACCATATCCAACGATAGATGTAACCATCACATTGAAGCACAACAGTAATAAGGACAGTGAGATAACAAATGCTGTACAAAAATTTTTTAGAGAAAAGGGATACATCATAAAGTGAAACCAACAACTTTAAATAATACAAATAACACTTTAATAACCATCAGTATTGTATCTGATATCGAAGGATAGTCAACTTTGGTAGGTAAGTATCAGAGGTCATTTCGGGGGGGAACGCGGGGGATCGCAGTTCCCCCGGGTGAGGTATGGGGGGCGGGGCACATGACGGAGCCCCGCCCCCTGCTTCCGGCCGCCCCGCTTCCGGCCCTCATTCAGCCAGGAGGAGGCAGGAGAAGAGGAAGGGTAAGTTGCTTCCTCCCGGCCTCTCCCCACCCCTGCCTGCCTGGGGCCAGGGAGGGCCTTCGCAGGGCTTCCTTGCACTCCTGCCGGCCTTGCAGGTCCACCGCCGGGCCCCTCATGGGGCTCGGCAGTGGAGCTGCAAGGCCGGGACCGGCTGCCGGGACCGTTGGGGGCGGGGTGTGTGGCCTTATGACACACTTCCGGTGATGTCAGGGGGTGTGGCCTTATGACACACTTCCGGTGATGTCAGGGGGTGTGGCATATGCTAATGAGTTATGCTAATGAGTTCCCCTAGCTCTCTTTCTACGAAATGACCCCTGGTAAGTATACCGAGAAGGGAAACCAAGCTGAAGTGAAATTTGACTCAAAAAAAATCTGAAGTTTTAGAAAAGGTAGCATCAGAGAGTTCGTCCATGAGACAAAATTCACATAGTTTCTTTATCCATTCAGAAATGGTAAGATGTGAGTTATTTTTCCAAGATTTGGCTATAACAAATCTGACTGCTGCACACAATAAAGCAACTTGTTCTTTGTGCGGTGGAAGAGGAAGATTAAGTTGCCAGGCTTCTAGCAGTAATGATTCTGGATCAAAAGTCATGCAATTAGGGGCCCTCGACCTTCTTGAGCCTTTGGCCAGCTTTGGAATTGTGGCACAGGGTGGTGGGCACAACTGCAAAATGGGTGCCGCAGGAGGCGGAGTCAACTACAAAATGGCGGACAGCATGGTTATTTGGGTTGCCAACCTCCAAGTGTGAAGGTTACAAGGAAGTTACAAGGAAATATATCAAACAGACAAACACTGTGATAAAAATGACAATGACATTGAATGAATCTTATGAACATCGAATTATATTACAATTGAAACTTTCACATTATTACTAAGGAAATTCTAACATTCTCAAGGAAAAGTCCTTCATCCTCAATGAGTACCCGGTTATAAACTCATTTCACCAGTCTTCCTCAGGAGTAATCCTAGTATTACTGATATTTATATTTATATTGAAAGGCGACTGCCGCTTGATACAGCTTAACTTCTTTTTTACTTTCTTCAAATTTTTACAGCTTATTTTTTTACTTTCTTCACGTTATCTTCTGGTTCCGTGTTTCTTTTCATTCTAAATAACTATGTTTGTTCCAGGATAATTTGAAGAAAGTAAAAAAGAAGTTAAGCTGTAATAATTTGAAAATGGAACCAGAAGATAATGTGAAGAAAATTAAAAAAAAGAAATTAAGCTGTAAAAATTTGAAGAAAATAAAAAAGAAGTTAAGCTGTATCAAGAGGCTGACACCTTTCAATATAGTAGGATTACTCCTGAGGAAGACTGGTGAAATGAGTTTATAACTGGGTACTCATTGAGGATGAAGGACTTTTCCTTGAGAATGTTAGAATCTCCTTAGTAATAATGTAAAAGTTTCAATTGTAATATAATTCGATGTTCATAAGATTCATTCAATGTCATTGTCATTTTTATCAGTGTTTGTCTGTTTGATAAACCTCTAGGTGTTGGCTGGAGATCTCCCGCTATTACAACTGATCTTCAGCCCCCCCCTGGAGAAAATGGCCGCTTTAGAAGGTGGACTCTCTGGCATTCTACCTCACTGAACTCAGGATTCCCATTGGTCTCTCTAAGCATCCCCCAACACTAGCATATGACACCTTCCTATCCTCGTATTTCTTGTGCAACAGAGAAGAGAATCTAACCTTTCCATCTTTCCCCCCCCTTCTGTATGTTTTTTGCCCATGTGGACAGGTCATGGTACCGATGGAACCAGCCCACCTACCTCCACTGAAGCCTCCTTGCCTAAAGGTCAACCAAATCCACCTTCCTCTCCTCAGTAGAAAAAAGGAAGCCTCGACTCCTTGCTATGGACTCGCCTCTCTGGGAATGGTGCCTTCGACTAGGTCTGGTGCGGTGAGACAGGGGCCTTCAGAGAGAGCTTTGGGCCTCCCCTGAGCCCTTGATCTCACGTGATGGGAGCAGCCCAGCAAATGCCACAGAAAGAAGAGACTCAAGCTGTGATAGAACCCCAAGCGGTTGAGGGTTGTGAGTGTGTGCGTGTGAATGTGCATGTGGCGCAGTGTTGGTGCTGCACCCATTGCCATGTCGACCTCTGATCCCCGCCTCCTGAGGCCTACACCTTTTTCTCAGTAACTGACACCTGGCAATCGTCGTGGATGGGGAAAGGTTGCTGCTGCTCTCTCTTGAACTCATAAAATGCTTCTTGCCGGAGGAGATTGTGGAACCGCTTCTGTTCTCAGAGCTAAACCCGCAGATGCCTCCCCGAGGGTCCCCCTAACCTGAGCCAGTGCGGCACAATTCGGTTCCCCCAAGGCTTAAATCTAGATGGGATGTTTGGGATCTTGCAAAAGACGTTCCAAAGCAAAAAGAAGGTGCTTTTGATTGTTGTTACAGTGCAGCATCCGATGGCTATTTCCTGTCTGTTCAAACTGTGAGTCTCTTAGGCTTTAGATGTATGTCCATTTCCTGTCTGTTTACATCCCTAAGTGTTTCAGGGGTTGGGGGAAACCTGTGGGCCCAGTGATCTCTGGTGAGGAAAACAGATAGGGAGGAGTCCTGCTTCGGCTGCTCTAAAGGGACACTGGTGCATCCAATCCATTGTCCTTTAGACACGTGGAGGTTCTAACCCCATGACTGTACAGATGATAGCGTTTTCAGAAGGCTTTTCCACATGAGGTGTCAGGCCCCATGCTACTTCGGTTTATCCCCTTATTCCTGTGGACATTTGCGTGCCTTCCTTTGTCCTACCCACTCCCCCACATCTCCATTCCACTTTCCGATGACTGGACCATCGTCAGCATCAAACTACTCCCTCTCCCCCCTTCCAGCCCTGAAGATGAGTGGGTTCATTTTTGAAATTTTTTAAAGGGACTAAGTATCGATCTATTGTTGTAATGGTAAGTTGAGCAGATTCCCTGAATTCCTAGCCTTCATTTAAAAAAATAATAAAGTAAGTCTCTAGCCTCTTCCCTGGTGGAGATATAAGGAAGAAGGCAAATCTATGCAAGGGAGGAGGATAGAGACTTTAAAAAGCTGGAAATTCAGGGAACCTGCTAAACATATCGTCATAGCAATATATCGCTATGTCGATATAAGCATGTGCAAAGAACTGTAAAAGGGGAGGGTGCCGTGACGCCATCGATGATAACAGCACTCTTCCTTGAAAGTCCTGATTACGTAAGGCAGAAAATAAACTGACCACAACTGTGAAGGGACGGAGGGAGGCCAAACATGCGGTAGAACTGTGCCACAACCAATTCCAATGCTTGGGGATCGACTCAAGAAAATCAGGAGTAAGTCAAGCCTGCAGAAAGCCCAGAAATTGGGGATGAGACATTTTAGAGCTGCCACTTCATGTGATACATGCATTCGTTTTCGCTCTCCCACCGTGATCTCTGATCAAACCAATTAGACAAGGTTTTGTAGCAGTTCACTCTCTACTTCAGAGTCAAAGCTAGCAGCTGATAATGTAGCCAGCACTGAGAGAGAGAGAGAGAGAGACCTTCCTAGATGTGTCACAGGGGCCTACTGGCCAGTGTCTACAATGAGGAACACCAGTTCAAAGCCCTGAGCACTTTCTAACTGTTCTAAAGAGTTCTAAAATCCATACAGCTAATAGAAGTGCAGCTTGTGGTGGGAACCAGACTACACATACATATGCAACAGACCATACACACACAAAACCCTGTTCCATTTGGTTTATAAAGGAATAAGCTACCAACCCTGAGAGAGAACCACGGCTGCCTTGGCTGCAAAGGACAAATCCTTCCCACTGCTCCAGACCAATAATTGTCTGCACACAGCTTTCATTTCCAGCCCTCCTGTTGTGTGTCGGATCGAGCGGGGAGTACGGAGGCTCCGGAAACTGCCTGCATGACTGCTTTCTGGGTATTTCTCTACCTTGTGGGAGAGCCAGTTTGGTGTAGTGGTTAAGTGCCGGGACTCTAATTTGGGGGAACTGGGTTTGATTCCCCACTCCTCCACTCGCAGCTGCCGGATGACCTTGGGCAAGCCATAGTTCTGTCAGAGCTGTCCTTGAAAAAAGAGCAGTTTCTGTCAAGAGCTCTCTCAGCCCCACCTACCTCACAGGGTGTCTGTGGTGGGGAGGGGAAGGGAGAGGAGTTTGTAAGCCGCTCTGAGACACCTTTGGGTAGTGAAGGGCGGGGTATAAATCCAATCTCTTCTTCCTCTTCTTCTTCTTCTTCTTCCTCCTGTGATTCTGGACAGAGAGCATGGAAACCACCTAGCAAGACACAAGATAGACACACGAAACAGTCTTCTGACCTGGGAAAGAAAATGCCGGGCTTAGTTTCTTTCATGTGCTAACCAGGGCTATTTTGGGGCAGGAATTCACAGGAACGGGGTTCCG